CATTGGTAAAAATAATGTGAGGGGTTGATATATTGCAAAAAAGTTAATCCTGATATTGCCAACAGAAGTAAACTAAGAACGATAGAGAGCTGAATGATCTTCATAAGAAGGAATTTACACATTCAGGCACATGGAAGCATCCTAGCACCGCTGAAAAAGAGAATCCTGTAGTAACCACACCATTTTGAAACACATGAGTTTGCCTTTTGTGTTCGATATTGTTACAGTAGAATTTGTTAGTTTAAGGAATGCATAAGCCTGTATGTATAATCATAAGAGTTTTAAAGTTATAGAGCTCAAGATGAACTTTGTTATGCTTAGGCAATTGGTTCTCGAATGGTTAATGTTGCATGTTGGATAGCTGAAATGTCTTACGGACCTCGATACAGTGCATTCTTGAATATTGTAATCGACATTTTTATTCGACGATTTTCACAAAGCTAAGGCCATGTGTTTGAGATTTCTTAACCATTCAACTGAATGGCATATATGATAAAGTTGGAGTATTGCTAGAAAATCATTACCTTTTTCTTCGTTATTGACCACCTTTGGCCAACAATTGTCCTGAGTAATTAAATACTTCACACAATGGAAGCACAGTAGCAAATGATAATGACAAAAATAAAACTCCAGTGGTGTAACTAAAGACTATATGAAATACATATTTCAACACTTATGGTTGTATCGGTGCTAAGGAGTAAAATGTAAGAAATCACCCTTTTAATGGTATTTTTTCAGATTTACTTGCATTGCTCAAAGATACATCCCATCCTGAGAAGCCGAGATTACAAGATACTGTTGCACTACAGAATAATTCTAGTGTAAGGCACGTTATTAGAGTAAAAGAAGAGTTGATATATATTTAAATTGTTTGTCCACACAGTGTTTTGTTTGTAGAGCTTCTAATTTTGAAAGTAGCATACAATATTGTTAACATCATGATGAAACATTTGTTTTCAGAGAAAAGAAGAATGACAAATTGATGAAATCTGTAGTTCCACATATTTCTGAAAGAACCTATTATATTTCTAAATAAATATTGATTTTACCAATGATGCTTTTATTTACATTCCACAGATACTTGCCATCTGAAAAGTATAATACATGAAATTGTTAATGAACTCATACGTAGTATGTCAAACGTAAGTATCACCAATCCAAAAGGTACAACTAATCACAGGAATTATGAATATGTAGCCAAATAGTAATGTATCAAAAATGAAAAACTACAACAGTGTATCACAATAACCTTTATTCATTTTTAAGTTACTTACATAAAATATACAGGGTGTTCTCCAATTGAATGTCTATATTCAAGGGGGTAACTTTGAGTCCATTTTAAGAATATTTCATATGACGTATATCCTAAATCTCTTGACCTTTGAGAAACAGAGTGGTAAACTTTTCAAAAGTTAATAAAATGTTTTGTAAAGATCTGGAATACCACTTCAAATACTTTATCGAAGTTTGGCATAGATGACACGGATCATTACTACGAGTATTACAGACTTGTTGAGCTTTTAAGCACTTCGCGTTCAATTGTTTTGTTTAGCAACATTTGCTTGCTCATGGAATTAAGGTTCAAAAGAATCCGTGTCACTTTTTTTAACAAACCCTGTTTGCGTGGTATGTATTTTAGAATAAGTCGCATAATACATCAATGCTTCCACATATATGTTCATACCGAACGGCAGCTGGTGTACACATAATATATGCCGCGTGAGTATACAAGAATACCGAGAGTCCACATATCACTAAATCTCACAGAGTGATCCGGTGAATGAAAGTGACAACTTTTCTAGATAATTTATTTTCTACAATTTTTGTGTAAGATATTTTTGTGGTATCCCTTTCCCTCTTAGTGAAACATAGCAAGACGTAATATTTTTGACATTTCAACGCACATAAAACAAGGTTCCGCTTCAAGGATACATGAGGAGGTTCGATACACTATTCATAATGGTGTATTTAAGATATGTACCAATCTTCAGCTTTCTTTGAATTTTCGTAATTTTGCAATATTTTGGTTGTATTTTTTCTGAACTATATTTGCGTATATGCATCAACTGACAATGCATAAACTCTAGAGAAATATGTACTTTTCGTAGAATTGACATCGCTACTGGAGGTTGTAGGGAAATGGGTGATTTCAATGGTCGAGTGGGAAAAGAGACACTGCAAGTGGTAATGGACTTAGAACAATTGATATGTATAATCAGCTTGATTTAACAACCTTGTGCGACTGTCACACCCAAAAAGACATCTACTGGTACACATGGATATAGCCAACATAAGGCTTGATGATATATACATAATAGAGGAGTTGGGCAAGCTATAAACTCCAAACAGAGATTGAAACTTAAACACAGAAAAAATAAAGATCATGTCATAGGCAAACTAGAGTTCGTGTTGCATCTATCTGTCGAAACGATTCTTGAACCCGTTAACTGTGGACCCAACAACAACATCGTGGGGTAGCCTGTTCCAGGCACAAAGTAGCGCAGCAGGAAGGCAGTCACCTCACCTAAAGGATCCTTCATTAAGGTATCGACTCCTTTAGGCATTAGTCGCTGATTATTGGATATGCTCGGACCATCATAGACTATTCGATACAATAACTCCTAAATCTATGTGTCTGGGGAAAGAGGAAATTTCCTGGTTCCCGATGATGTAATTGATCTTCCGATCGTTCGCTCCAATGTGTAGAAAACAGCTCTTCTCCAAGTTGGGGGAAGCAGCCATCTTCTGGACCATTAATAAATGTTGTTAGAGGATGTTACTATGTCAGCATACGAGGATTAGGTGGAAGATATGAAACAAGTCAGGTCCGGTGTGTATAGGAAAAACAGCAAAGGTTCCAATATGGAACCCTGGGGGACACCGCTAGTCACCGCCCTACTAGTTGACAGTTAGACACCTACCCTAGCCGTGAAGTCTCTCGGAAAGCCCTAATCGACTTCAGCTGGTCTCCTGTTAGTCCTAAGTATTCCAGCTTGTAGAGAAGGTATGCGTGTGGTACTTATTCGAGCGGTCTCAAAAAATCCAGGAATATTACGGCCTGTTGATATCTATTATATTAGTCCAATCGTTGATAAATTTGAGCAGGTTTATGATGATATATCGACCTGGCAACCAGGTTGATTTGTTGGTAAGATATTATTTTCGGTAGCAAGCTTGAACATTTCAAGTATTTAACATATTTTTATTTGCTACTTTAGCAATTATGGGAATGAAACTGATGGGAAGATAATTGTTTGCATTGAACTTGTCATCGATCTTGGAAATTCGCTTAAGTGTTACTCTGGGCCAGCTTTGAGGTAGTGAATGAGAAGTGAATGAAGAGACAAATATCATACTTAAAAACAAGAGTAGAGACACATCTATTTAGGATCATTGCTGGAATATTGTCACCGCCTGGAGTACAGCAATCCAGATTGATGAGGTGATCTTGAATCACGTCAGGGGGAATTCAATTTCACACATACTGGGATGTGGTGTAGGTGGTCACCTTCCGGATAAAAGTATTAACCGAATGCGTTAGCCCATACATGCTGGGTGTAGACGCTGAGACTTAAGTGAAGGTCGAATATATCTGAAGAGCTGTTTTTTGTTTTTTGATGATACCCGCTTTTTTTCAAATCGACATTTGGCAGTTTTCAGTGTCCCTGAAAGTATGTTAGAGAAGTTTCGATGATTCATGTAGTCGGATTACCTTTTATTGCGTAGATATTTCTGTCATAACGATTCTTTATGACGTAACATGTTAAGGATATCCTGATCAACCCATCATTTAAGGAGATTGTACCGGATTTTACGATAACTTGAATGTTTTGCGAGCAGCGCCTGATGCCTTTCATGAAATACGTGACACATCGCTTGAGCGGAGAGCCCACTGAATAAGAAAGAGATGCCAGAGATGTCTGAACTCAGGTGTGTAAAATTGATGAAACTGACTGTCTTTTGAATCCTGGGGGTCTGCTTGGAGTAATTTGATTGAATTTTGGACTTTATATTATTATATTATCACCAGGCATTGCTCTGATATAAGGTGTTATGATGTAAGGGTGCAAAGATGTGCTTTTTGTAGACTAAGATCACTTCCTAATATGAGGTAGAATTCACTTATTAAGCACCACAGTGTTTATTATATATACATATATTAGGTATTAATTTGATTAGGATTTTAGTTTCTTCTTCCTCAAGATGTTAACATGCCAGGTATTAAAAAACCAGTTTGGAAAGGGGTAAAACTGTAGTGCCATAGTCGCTACGCCAAAGGATACAACAGCCTATATGTAAGATAAAGGTAAATCGACCGTATCGTATATATAAATTGCTACAAAATTTTATGAAGACAACAAGAGCAAAATCAAAACGGGTAGGTGCTTGTCAGAGAAATTTCCAGTAAATCCTGGGCATATTTTGTGTGATATCATAACAACTACTGCAAGCGGAGGGGATACTAAAGTCATCCAAATTAAATTAAACAGAGGAAGTAGCGGTAATCAGATAGTTACACCAAACTATTTGGGATGAAAGGATTTTAGATAAAATAATGAAGCATATGTACAGTTCTTTCGTAGAAAGTGAAGTTCCCTAAGAAGCGAAAGTATAAATACCCACGGAGAATAAAAGACAAAATCAATGCTACAGACATGTATTAGTGGTGAAGGCGCTAACAGCATAGAATGTTAGATAGAACTCCTATATCGATTCAGCCTAATAACACATCACCAATGGACGCATTGGGAAAAAACTGCTATGGGATGCGACGTCTCCTTGGGGCCAGGTAGCTACAGCTTCTGAGTAACTGTGAAGCTCTGTGTTGTCACAGATCAGAACCGGTGTTTGATAACTTAAGGAAGAAAATACAAAGTGGGCTGTACCTTAGGTCACTTTGGCTTCTGCTAAATGGAAATTTTGCGGAGAAAGGTACAAAATGGTCTGCCTTATAAATGAATAATTCATCAGAATCTCTAATAATTTAAGAGGTGGCATACCTGATACATAATTCTACAGCCTTGTAGTCTCCACCATGCACGGCCGAATGTAAAGGTACATTACCCTCAGAGTCATAGAACGAGATCATTTCTTCTCTGGAACAACCCCGTGCTTCACCCCACTGAAGAAATACCTCCAGTGTTTTCGATGATGCATTCTTGGCTGCTTCGTGAATGGGGTAGTATCCATTGTTGCAGGGTTTCCTTGGACAAGCTCCAAACTCTGATATCTGAAACAACGACCGATATTTAGTAATATAGGCTGTCATTTAAGTAAGTGTGCAAATTTCAGGAGGTGAGTCTTTCAGTAATTTAAAGATGAGAAGTTTATATAAACATAGGCCCAGAAATGCTTAATTTTTTTAAAACCGGTTTTTCCAAAATATCTTGATAAACTTTCAGTCGATTATCTTTAAATTTAGCAGAGGTATTAAGGGCAATAAGAAGCTAATTTAGCATTGATTAGATTGAGATTATTTAGTCCAGTAGCGTCACGAAAACCACCTCTGCAACATCTTTGAGAAAAAAATTTCTGCGTCACTGACTTTTTTCAATTTTTCTATTTTCATCGAATTAAGTAGCTGAAAATACAACTTTTTTTATTTCACGATCTTATTCCATATCTCGCTTTGTTTGTGAGATAAAAAATAGATAGCACTTTATTGCATGTCCCCCACCGAACTAATTAAGCATTAACATTAGACGAAAGTCATCTCTTGATTTTTTTCGCATATATTTAAAACTAATTCTGATAAAATAAACATAAAATAATTGCATAACTTAGTAATTTTTAACAGCATTGGTTTAAAAGAAACAAAAAATAAGAGTGCCATGAAAGGAAACATAATTGCTACTCCAACAAATGTGACAGATATGCATTTTGTTTATGGAATGACTCAAGTCAATTCTAGAGCGGCTAGGCGCATTTAACAAGAAATATATTTTTCATCGCATTATACCAAATGAATGAATGAATGAATCTTAAAATTAGAGGCATCCCGGCCACTATAAGGAGCCAGTGCATAGGCCGCTTAAGCGGGCCCTTATGCACCTCTACAATCCTTAAATCACAAGCCTCGCCCTTTTAGCGAAGTTGAGAATCGCCTTGAGTCCAAGCTCCTTGACGTCTTGAGGGTCCAAGGTAATGGACCCCAGTATAGTCTGCCTATAGTAGCTCAGAGCTTCACCGCGACACAAAACGTGCGCCGAGGTCTCTTCCTCTACTCCGCAGCGTTCGCACAAGGGATTCTCAGCCACCCCCATCACGTGTAGGTGATGCCTTAACGTGTTATGGCCAGACAACAGTCCCACCAGCTACCTTAGGTTGGCTCTTCCCAGAGATAGGCAGAAGCGTCCATCCTTAGCACTGGACCCTTCAATGAGCTCTCGTGCCTGGCGGAGATGTCTAGAGATACTTCTCCATTTCTGAGAGTGTGGTCTTGCAACCCACGTCTCCATTTTCCTCCTAGCTTTATGCGCGGTCACTCCTAGAGCTGGCTCAGGACCAACGAGCGTGCTGGCTGATCCTGTTTTCGCCAGAGTGTCCGCCGTCTCATTGCCCCTTATCCCAGCGTGCCCCAGTACCCATATTAACGATACCGGATGCCTCGCTCCGAGGCAATCCAGAGCCTCCCTGCATTTCAATACAAGACTCGAAGTAATCTTACAGGCACTTAGTGCTTTCATTGCAGCCTGGCTGTCTGATAAGATTGTTATTCTTCTCCTAGGCCCACCCTCCTCCAGAATGTGAGATACACAAGCCAGAATCGCAAAGATTTTCGCCTGGAAAATGATGGTGTATCCACCGAGGGGCAGAGATAGCCTAGTTCTAGGCCCAGAGACCCCAGCACCTGAGCCCTCTTCGGTGACCGAGCCGTCCGTGTACCAGACCTGCCCGCTCACTTCGGAGAGTCCCCGGCTACCGGCGTCCCACTCCTCCCTCGTTGCATACTCCACAATAAACTTGCGATATTTAGGGGTAATACGATCACCCCTGCTTAGAAGGACGGGGTCCTCCCTTTCTAATTCGACTAAGATGGCAGTATGCCCCTTGACAGGATTCAAGAAAGCCCAGCTGCCCTGACTCCACAGTCGATGAGCGCCTACTCTCGCTTCACCGCGGATCACCAGACCAACGGTGGGAGATCCAACAGAGCTTCCATTGCACTCAATGGCGTTGTTCGCACTGCGCTTGTAATGCTAATACAGGCCAAACGCTGAATTTTATTGAGTTTGGCCTTAGTTGTCTCAGTTCTAATGCAAGGCCACCAGACCAGGGAGCCGTACAAGAGAGATGGACGTACTATCGTCGTGTAGAGCCAGTATACCACTTTGGGTTTAAGCCCCCACCTTACCCCGACAACACGTCTACAAGCCCACCTCGAATTGCGAGCCTTGCTAACCTTGTATTCCACATGCTCTCTCCAGTTCAGTTTGCAATCCAGGATAATTCCCAGATATTTCACTGACTGGGACAAAACTAATCTAGCCCCAAAGAAGGTCGGCATGACCAGCCCGTCAAGCCTTCTTTTCCTAGTGAATAGGATCAGCTCGGTCTTTTCAGCATTAACAGAAAGATCGACTTCCCTACACCACGATTCCACGGAGCGCAGAACGCCCGCATTATACCAAATAGACAAACAATCGTGAGAACACATGAATGGCTGTGCGAATCAGGAACCCTTCAAAGGTCGGTGCTGTAATTGGGAGATCTGTTACAGTAAGAACAGTGGAGATGGAGGAAGCAGTTTTTCATGAAGTTGAGCGTAGCCCCCATACAAGTACACGCAAAATTGCAGAAATAGTAAATATCTCTCACTTTACTGTATGGCAGATTTTAAGAGAATATCAACTGCATCCTTTCCACATACAGCGTGTTCAAATGTTATTATCTACTGATGTTCCCCATCGTTAATTGTACTTGGCGTTCGCAACAACAGATAGCGTTTCCAATATTTCTATCCCGTATTTTATTTACCGGCGTCTTTTTTCCGAAATTCAATTGTGAACTTTCACAATATTTACATATGGGCTGAAGAAAATCCCCATAGGGTTATAGAAGTTAATTATCAACAACAGTTTTCCGTGAAAGTTTGGAGTGGTATTGTGAGTGATTATTCCATTGGACCTCATTTCTTACCCCCGAGATTAAATGGTCAAGAGTATAGTTATTTTTTGGAATCTACTTTACCTGAACTACTAGAAAATGTCCCGCACCGGATTTAGATTCGTTAGAAAACTTCAGTCAACACTGAAGGAGGATTAACCCAACGGATATGAGATTCATGTGATCAGATAAGACATACGCCGGAAATATTTCATCGAGGTTGGCAATCAATGTTAAGACGAACTAATGCTTGCAGTGAAGTTAGAGGAGGGCATTTTCAGGGACTGTTATAAGTCTCCTGTTATTTACTCTTAAATGTTTTTATTGAAATAAAAGTTTACGTGTAGTTTTAAAAAGACGTTTGCCCGCTTCGATTTTTTTTATTTACAGCGTTACTAATCTGCAACGCCACTGGCAAAACATCGCAACAGTATATAACGTTATGTAAAGACTTTATGTTTATTTATTTTATTGAAAGCAGGTATAATCTGAGCAAAAGGGTTTAAAAGACGACTTTGGTGTTTTGCAAATTATCAAAAACATGCAATAAAGTGAGATTTATTTTTTATCTCACAAAGGAGCGAGATATGAAAGAAACTAATGAGACCAAAGAGTTGTATTTTTAGCTGCTCAATTCAAAACAAATAGAAAGATTGAAAAGAGTCAGTGTCACACAATTGTTTTGTGAAAGATATTGATTAGGGCATTTGGGACTCCACTGGATTTCGATCTAATTGGGGCTAAATTAGCCCCTTACTGCCCTCGACACCACTGATAAAGTTGAACAAAGTCGATTGAAAGTTTATTTAGAAATTTAGGTAAAACCCCTGTATAATCAACCACCTAACGCACCTAGTTCAACCAACTCTTGCAAACTCTATTATCTACCTAGGAGCCATGAAATCTTGTGGCCGAAAAATGAAATCACAAATGGATTCATAATTTTACTGATGTTTCGGTTGCCACAGCTGTCTATTCTTGATAGTAGCAGCCCTAAAATAACAGTACCCTATTATTAATTTTGCTATTCTCTTCGATTTCCGGGAAAGAAAACAAGCCTGACATATTAAAAACTAGAAAATAGATAATTTTTCAAAATTATCCAACACCTAATGTTTAATGTCATTTTTAAACTTTGATTTCAGAGATTCAACCTTTTCATAAATAATATTTGACCTTCCTTTTGGATTGAATTTGTTTGAAGCAGTAATTTCAGACCTGGCATCTAAATTTTGAATATCCCTAGTATTTGAAAACCTTGCGTTACTGTTCTTCTCTGGAATTGATACATACTTCCAACTGTATTGATAGAGTAAACCAGAACAGAGAGATTATCTCCTGAAAAATGGCGTCAAGCAGATTGGTTCAATACTTTCCACGCCTTCTGAACAATTCATAGAACAATTCTCCATGCAGTGCAGTGATATTAAAAAGACATAGCTGTAAGAACCAGCAATGAACTATTTGTGCTTTTCATGGAAAAAATCGTCAGGTTGCAGCAATGCCGCAAAGATAATACCCATGCACGGAAGCGTTATTTTTTGGATCTCTGGTTTAATCCTGCTTGTCAACAATGTCGATTATAATAGCTTTTAATATTACACCACGAAATTAAATAACCTCATTGAAGTACACTCCACGCAGGGCGCTCATATACCGCCTATTTCAAATTGGACCCTCACCATAGAGATCTCGGAAACGGTTAGAGATACGAAGTGGCTTAAATGTGGACAAAGTTGAGTATATAGGTAACTAACAAGGCGTCGTCTAGAATGTTTTGAAAGTTAAAGTACTTCCGGAGAGAAACGAAAAAAGAAACGAATTTTTTCTTGCTGAGTTTATTTGTTGTTGGATTTTGCTATAAATTCAACATTTCCGCTTTTTCCCTTCTACAAGATCGTATAATTAGAATGCTAATATGACGTTTCGTCGCTTGTCTCTGGCATTAACCTTATTTTTTCTAATGGACACAGGTTTTTTAATTTTGATTACAAAAACTTAGTTATTTCAAAAGAAAAAAGTGATATTTCCTAGGCATGCCTTGCAATTATCAGATAGTCGTTTGTTTCGTGTACAGGATTTGCTGAAGAATCGTTGTTTAATTCCTGGTTTTAGTTGAAATGA